GATCTCAACAATGAAAACTAGAAAACACAGATGAAAGAAATTGAAGGGGACACACGCACACCCATGCACACGAGCATGGGAAGGTGTCCTCTGTGCGTGGGCTGGGGGAATTACCTGTTGAAATGTCCAGACTGCCTGTTGTAGTATGGATCCTCATGCTGGTCACAGCAAAGTCGTGTGCTGAGGGCTTTGTCATGGTGTTCCTGGGAGATGATGGTAGAAATTTTAGGAGTTGGAGCCTGGCTGGAGGAAACAGGCAATGGGAAGTATGCCCTGGAGAGTATGTGGGACCCAGCCTTTCCTCGTACTCTGTCTTTTTGCTTCCTGGCCACCATATGGTGAGCACCTTGCTCTGTGTATTGCCTGCTATGATATCTGCTTCATTAAGGCCCAAAATGATGGGGTCAAGGGGCCATTGTGGGCTGGGGATTTAGCTCAGTGGCACAGGGCCTGCCTGGCAAGCATGAGGTTGTGAGTTCGATTCCTGGTACTGGAAAAAAAAAAAGGGGCCATGGTCTGAAATCTCTGAAAATCTGAGCCCAGAGAAACCCTTCCTCCTATTCACTTGTTTATCTCAGATATTTTGAGATAGAAAGCTAACATAATTACCCCAAACAATCCACAGATATTTTATCATAGTAACAAAAATCTAACATACTTCCCTTGTCCCTGAGTCATAATACCCAACACCCACAGGTTAAAGAAGGAGAGATTTATATTGGCCCACACTTTAGAAGGTTCAGTCCCTGAGGGCCATCGGCATGGTGGAAGGGCGTCGTGTAGGGGAGCTGTTCCCATCATGGTGGCTGGGAAGCAGAGAGAAGCCAGAACAGAAGAGGGAGAATAACATTCTAGGTTATACTCCATGACCTGCCCCTTCCAGCCAGGCTCCACCTCCTAACTGTACATTTAGTTATTGTGACTCCCAAATTTGGTCACCTGCCTGAAGCCCTGCTCTCTCAGCACAAGAGGCTTTGGGGAATACCCAGATACAACACTACCCGAAATAATCTACAGATTCAATGCAATTTCTGTTAAGATCCCAAGGACATTCTTCACAGAACTAGGAAAACTAATCTTAACTTTTGTATGGACTCATAAAAAACCCTAATAGGCAAAGTCATCTTGAGAAAAAAAACCAAGCAGGTGGCATTGCACATGACCAGATTGTAGTACTGGAATATCCTGCAGGACTGAAATGGTCCAGACAGCTTAACACTGTCATGAAAACAGATGCATAGGCTAATGGAAGAGAGAGAGCTGGAACTAAACCCACAGATCTGCAGCCAACAGAATTCCAACAGAGGTGGAAATGCTCATGACAAGTGGAGAAAGGACGGTTGTTTCAGTAAATGGTGCTGGGAAGACCCAACATCCCCATGAGGAAGAATGACCCTAGACCCCATCTCTCCTCAGCTACAACTGTCAGCCCTAAATGGGTCAAAGACTTAGAGGTAATACCTGAAACAATGAAACTATTAGATGAAAACCTAAGAGAAGTGCTTCAGGACATTGGAACAGGCAAAGATTATTTTGGATAAGATCTAAAAGTTCAGGAAACAAAATCAAACAGACAAATGAGATTACATCATCAAACTAGAAAGCGGCACAGTGAAAGAAACAATCAGAGTGAAAAGGCAACTACAGAATGGGAGGAAGTATTTTCAAGTCATACACATGACAAAGGGTTAATGTGAAAATTAACACATAAACTTCAAATCTCAACAGCAAAACCTTGAATAACAATTTAAAAATGAGCAGTATACCTAGAGATTTCTCAAAAGAAGAAATACAAAAGCCAACAGGCATGTGAAAAAATCACTCAGCAGTGATCATCAGAGAAATGTAAATCAAAACCACAGTGACATCGCCTCATTCCAGAAAGAATGACTACTGCCAAGAGACAGAAGATAACAAGTACTGATGCAGATGTGGAGAGGAGAGGGTTGCACATGGCTGGGGCATCTCAGCACAGCCTCTGTGGGAAACAGGGCACACATTTCTAACAAAAGTCAAAGCAGAGCTGCCTGGGAGTGACCTGGTGGTCCAACCCTGGGTGCCGCTATAAAGGGAAAGGAATAGGTGTGTTGGGCAGATGTCACTTATGTCAGTGCAGCCCTGTTCAGGAGAATGAAAAAGTAGAAGCAGCAGAGTGTCTGCCAGCTCTGGATGGAGGAAGAAACTGTGGCCCACACTCACCATGGAACATCATGCAGACAGAAGAAAGTGAAGCCCGGTCTGTGATGGTGTGGGCAGAACTGGAGATGGTTGTGTTACGTGCAATGGGCCAGGCGGAAGTGGAGGAGCAGGACATGAGTTCCCCGGCCTGTGGTGCAAAGAGTGAAAGAAAAGCAGGGCCACAGGGAGGCAGGTAGGGTACCAGCCAGTGGGGTCAGGGGGCCCAGGTGCCGCTGAGCAGCAGATGATTGTAGATGGTGAGCACAGCATGTGGTACAAAGCTAGGTTTTGAGTGTCTCTGCAATAAAGCAGGGAAAAACATTGTCGGGTAGACAGGTTAGGCCTGGTTATGTCACTGCAGCAAGCCTGGGCTTCCCATCCCTGAAATTCCAAGTTTATTCATAGCCATCCAGGTGTGCAGACAGCGAAGTCTCTGCCTGCCTCTGGAGGCACAGAGCTTGGGGATCCAGAGGAGAAGGAGCGAGGTTCCTCCAGGAAGGTGGCTTCTCTTGGACCCTATGCTTAGAAGACGGTGGCCTCAGCTGGCCAGTGGGCAGTCTAGGTTGTCTGACATCAAAGTTGCCCCTGTACCCCTGCCAGGCCCTTGAAGCCACCTCCAGGGCTCTGGACAGCAGTGTGGGCTGCTGTTGCCAGGGCAACCCAGGAGTTGGAGATGCTGTCCACACAGCTGGTAGAGCCCATGCATCAGCTGACCTCTGAACTCAGGGACCAAAGCCAGCAACTAAAAGCAAACAGAGCTAAAGGCTTTGTGCAGCCTTTCGAGTTTTGTTACCCAACATATCAGCAATCAAAATGAGACAGAGGCCACCAGGGGCACTTAGCCAGGTACTCCTGAAAAGCATGGGCTGTGTTTTCCTCTGAGCCAGTCAGAGACCTGAAATATGCTGTTGTTTAAAAACAAACAAAACCCACGCAACAACAGAATAAGCAGTGAATCTTCACTTGGGCTTCCGATGCCCAGTGTGACAGAAGCAGAACAAGGTGTGGTCTTCTCCATATGTCTCCATTTCCTCAGAGCCCTGGGTGTGTCCTGCTGTTCACCCAGGGCTTCTTGGTCGCTCAAGGAGGGTCTGTCTGAAAACTGGCAGCCCAAGGTGGATTGGTCCTGGATCACAGAACCTACCTCGGCCCCTTCAAGACTGGAGACACCAAGATAAAGGATTTACAGGGACACAGGGACACCAGTCTGGTCACTGCCCTAAACCTGCAGTGATCTTGGGTGCCCAAAGAGCCTTTGAACTCAGAGGTGCCCCATGCAGAGAGTCCTCAGAGAAAGGACCATCCAGAGCTGTCTGCAAATCTAGAACCCAGGCTGCGCTCAGCTGGACCTGGCCTAGCTCTGTGCAGTGAGATGTCTTTTAGCCTGTGCAACTGCCAGGCCCTCTGCCAGAGCCTCTGCCGCTTTCTCCTGCTTCCTGCTCGGCCTGGTGAGCCTGCCGTGCCTCTTGCCTAGCTGACGCCTCAGCTAGGATGTCTGGAGCCTGCCCAGGCTCGTGGAGATCTCCACGAACCTGGTCAGTGACAGAAACATCATGAAGCACCCCATTCGTAGGCATGCTTTTAAAGTTTTTTGTGTGAATTAAAAATTAATTTAAATAAAAAATTTAAAAATAAATTAAAACAACTATGTTTTCGTATTATCCTAATTTTAAAGTAATTACTATGAGCATGTTTGATAGGTCTCAGGTCCTCTTCTCGATTTCTTTGCCTGTTTTTCTGTTATGGTTTTTATTAATTATTTCGGCATCAGTCAGCACGGTCACAGCCTCCAGGAAAGCACCGGACTGACTCACAAAGGAAGGCTCCCTTCAAGGGAAGGCAGTGGCGGCAGCGCTTGTCATCGCAGAGGTCAGCGTTTGGAAGCAGGAGTTGGGGGTCCAAGCCAGGCTGAGCCTCGTAGCACAGGATGTTTGCTCCCCCTGAGGCCCAGCACGCGCACGGGTAGGAGGGGTGCGGTGACCGGCCACTTCCATCCCAAAGAACAGTTCTGATTTTCACATTCAATTAATGTGTGTTTGAGTTATACTGGTTTTTGTTTAAAATAGGATTTAGCTTCAATTTTGTGTACAGCGCTGGGATTGAAGCCAGGCCTTTCCCGTGCCAGGTGAGCACTGCCCACTGAGCTGCCCTGTCCCGCACTCGATTTCTTGCTCAGCCGTGCAGGTGCGTCTCCTGTGTCCTCTCACTGTGCCCCCTTCCCGCGGCCTGCACCGGAGGAGGGTGCTGCGGAGCGGGTGGACCCGAGCAGGTGCCGCGGGAGCCGGGTAGACAGAGCTGTGGGGCTCACTCAGCCTCGGCTGCCTTCCCCGCACCCGCACCCCGCGCTCGCGCCCTGCAGCAGCGAATCCACGCCGGGAAGAGCGGGGAGAAGCGCGGCAGCGAGGGTCTGTGGGGGCCGGTGGGGCTCTGGTGAGGGCGCCGCGGATCGCGGGCCCGGGACTGCAGATGAGCGAGCATCACCTTGGCCTCGGTGCGCGCAGGGAGCGACTTCGTTCCCCTGCGACTGAGCTCCGCTCCGTGGGGTCACTCGCGGAGCCTCGCGGCGAGACGCGGCGGGAGGACGGCGGATCTGCGTGAGCTGGGACGCCCTGCTGCGTCCGCGGAGCGCCGGCCTGGCCGGGCCTAGCTGGTGCGAGTTTCCGAGTTTCCCTGCCTCAGGATGAGCGTTTGACTCCTGGCTTTGTCTTCTCTCCTTTGTTGGAGGATTTGTCGCAGAGAAGAGGAGTAGCCTTTCGGGACACCACCCTCCCACTGCGTTAGCCAAGCAGAGCTTGATGTGTTTGTTTATTCCTACTTTCCAGGTGCTGGGTTCACGTGTGTCTGAGTGGAGCCTGTGCCCGTGCTGTCCCTGGAGGAACTCAGGCCACGGAGGAGCCGCCCGTGGGTGACACGCCTCCCTTTGCGTGGGCCACTGCAGCCGGCTCCTGGCCCCCCACCCCCCAGTGCTCCGTGCTCTGTGCACTGCGAGGAGGGGAGCGTCTCTGCCTGGTGCCCAGGGAGGGGCCCTGTGGGGTCTCCCTGAGGTGAGCAGGCTCCTGTGGTTCCTGTCCCAGTAGGCAGGGCTGTGAGAAGTGGGGTCCAGGACTTGGTGCAGTGTGGAGCTCAGATCAAAGCCCCCGAAGACCCTAGGGGTCGCAGCCTGAGGACAGCAAGCCATAGAAATCAGAGAGCTGCGTCTGCTCAGGAGAATGGGGAGCGCTTCAGGAGGCCTTTGGCCTCAGCTCTGGCCACCTGGGAAAGGCTGGAATCCCCTTCCCTCTCTTCCTTCTTTCCTCCCCTTTTCTCTCCCTCCTCCTTTTTCCTTCTGTTCTCTCTCTTTCCTTCTGCCACAAGATCTGACCTGGCTGGCCTTGAGCTCTCTATGCAGCCCAGGCTGGCCTTGAGGTTGCAATCCGCCCACTTTAACCTCCCAAGTGCTGGAATTACAGGCATGTGCCCACACCCAATGGAAAGCTTGTCTCATGCTTTAAAATATAATTTAGCCACTCTAGAATTTATTTGAAATAACATGGGTTCAAACTTAAATACAGAGTTATAGGATGACATCAATGTCTAATTCATCAGTTGGACATTATTTTACCTGAGAAACCAATTTTGGCCAAAGACCTGCAGTGTTTACAATTTTTTATTTATTTCTGTGTGTTTTTAAGAATGGTGTTCAGGTAATGTTCAGATCCTTGAAATTTTGGCGCACTTTACACTTTACACTTAGGTGTTGAGATGGTAGGAGGCCTCTCTTCATCTCTTAGCTTTTACTGCCATCGTGTGGCCATTTTATTCTCTGGTTAAAATACATCTGCAAAACCAGGTTTCTATTTTTATCACAGATCACAAGTCCACAGTTTCTCCTCAATTAAAACAGCTGTGCTACAGTGTACACACTTAGTAGTATTCCCTTTGTCACAACGTTTCCCTACATGATAACATACAATTCCCACAGAATTTTAACTCAGATTTCGCGTGCTTTTCCAAAGCATCTCCTCAGCACCTCCCATTCTCCCTGCCCCTCTGACCATGCTGGCTTTCCAGTTAATGTGCTGGCCTCTGCAGCTGACTCCCTCGGTTACCTACTTTCCTCTGGTGCCTAGGCCTGGACTTCCCTTCCTGTATCATCCTCTCCTCAGCTCCTAGACTGCTGCAGGGTTCCCCCGCTTCACTGGAGAAATGTAGGGCTGAGCAGGACACTGAGGCATGGTGAGTGCCTGTCACTCCTAGCTGTGGCCACCCCTGCTCAGCTTCTCTGGAGAAGTGGGGTGCGGGAAGTCCTGGGGGTGGTGTGTTCATTACTTTCCCAACACTGGAGCAAAACACTCAAACCTTCAACTTAGGGAGAAGAGCTTTAATTGGTACATAGTTTTGGGGATCCAGTCTGTGGTCAGGGGCTCCTAGGCAGGAGCATCATGGCCGAAGGGTGTAGTGGAGCCATCTGCTCAGTTCTTGGTGGCCAGGATGCAGGGCAGGGGAGAGCTCTAGAAAGGAGAAAGTGAGGGAACCATACATAGTCCCCAAGTTTACCCTCCATGACCACCCAGGAGTATAGCAGCCCGTCTGCTACTCTGCTAGGGATTTCTCAATCCAATGACCCTGACACATCAGGATGAACTGTCACAGAAGCTAAATACAGAATTTATCTTGATGTACATTTCTCTCCTTTGTTTTGTGAGAAATTCCAATGTTTAATTTCCTACCAGCTGGCTCAGACACAGGACAAGCCAGGCTGGTCATGTTACCGTTGCGCACACGGCGAGCATTGCTACGAGCATTGCCTGGGCTCTGTGGTGTCCACATGCCATCCTGCCACTCTGAGTTGGGTTGGCTTCTCTCCTCTGACATGGAGATCTTGTGGTCTCATTAACTGGTCTTGATTTTCCAGGGACCTTTGATGGTATTTCAAAATAGTGGATTTTTGTTTGTTGAAAATTTAGCTATGTTTTTTTCCTGAATTTTTATGATGCTGCTTTAACTACTTTCCTATAGACTTAGTCTTCATCAAACGTTTTTCTTATTCCTGATCCAGTGTACTACATCATGATGGGGGCCTATACATGTGTAGTAAAAGATGAAGCAACCTGTATTTCTGTGATGCATGATCTTAATTGTTCAGTAATAAGAGTAGACATCATGGTACGGTTACTGTATGCCAGCCACTATTCCAGAGGCTGGCATCTATTCCATGCCCATCTCTACAACTCTAAAGGTTCAAACTCTCACTGTCCCCAGAGATAAACAGCACACACTCTTTAAAGAGCAGGTGTGGAAAGTTGATGAATTTGCCCCAAACCAGTGGAACCAATATATACATAATAAATATCACCTTGCTTTTGAACTTCTACATTGTAAATCAAAGCTATTAAGGCCCATGGGGCTTTATTAGATGGCTTTACAAGACCTGGGTAGGACAGCCCACAAGGCCATACGTATGCTGATGAGCCGGGCACTGCTCAGTCTGAGAAGCCAGAAGCCTCACAAATAAGAATAACCAAGGATGCAACTCTAGTCCAAAGCTGAAGGTGGAGATGCTCCCTGGAGAGTCGCTGATATGAGTCTGTATGGAAGGCTGAAGAAGCTGAGGCTGATATGCACGGTAAGCCACTGCAGAAGACTTGCCCAAGCAGAGCTGACCTTGCAAGTACTGGCTGACTTCCTCCTTCTTCCCCTTCTGTCTCAGCCTATCAGATGACATGGCCCTCCGTGAGGCCGGGTCTTCCCCTCTGTTTGCTGGGTGACATGCCAATCATCTCTGGAAACACCCAGACACACCCAGAGCTGTGGTGAGAGTCCAGTATGGTGACAGTGTGGAACACTTGTGGTGCTGACAGCTGGAGAGCACAAGCATCCTCTACTTACCCTACAAGTGTCCACGGAGAGCTCTGGAAGTGTGTGCAGTGTTCCTTGTCAGGACTGTTGTGGTGATCCAGACACGAATTTCTGTCTTCTTGGCGCTTGTATTGGTGTGTGTGCATGTGTGCATGCATGTGTCTATGTGTAATATCAGAAAATGGGTTAAGCAACAATTTCCATTGGTGAAGAATGAAACATGAAAGGAAGAGGAAACCCTGGAGCTGGCTGGTAGAGTCTGGTGGGCAGATCAAGAGGACTCATTAAGAGATGTTTGTGTAGATGCAGTGTGGTGAGGAGCAGCCAGGTGGTCCTCCAGGACAGGGTCCCAGGCTGCAGGGGCAGTCAGTGCAAAGCCCTGGGCCAGAGATAATGGGAGGACTGGAAGAGCAAAGCAGCTGAGCAGTGATCAGTTTGCTGAGGGGGCAGATGCAGGACACTAGAGGGCTTGGCAAATACATATGCTCATTGCCTCGGCCACAGGCGCTGTGCACCTGTCCTCCTGTAGCTCAGGATGCCATGAGAGGAGCAGGTTGGTGTCTACAGTTAGTGGAGCAAGTGATGTGGGTATGGTCAGAATCCCAGTTTTGGACTCGTGATGCCAATGCAGCACCTCACAGAGATGCCCCGGAGCATCTGCAGCTCAGGGAAGACCCTGGACTGAAAGGGAAATCAGAGCTGTGGGTGTTCCGGGGCCAAGCCTGAGCTGGATTGTCAGGGAAGCGAGGCCTGGCAGAAAGCAAAGACCTGCATCCAGAGCCAGCGAGTAGAAGTGGAATCTCCTTAGCCTCACCGTGCACCTGGATCCCTCATGTCTCCTCTGAAGAATCTGTCCATGGTGGGCCTCAGTCTCCCTGCAGGGCAGGCAGCTCTGAGCTGTACTGTGAGGCACCGATCCCTGCTGATTTCCCACCTCGGTTATACGGCTCCTCGATCCACACTCCCTGGTGCCAGCATTGACCATGCAGAAACTGGCCACTGCTTTACTCCCACCTCCAGGGGCTGCTCACGTTCCTCCTTGCTAAATCTCTGTGGGAGCTGCTGGGGCCACGGGCGTGGGGTGGCACTGTCTGAGTCTGGCCCATCAGCTGCCTGGGGTTGCGAGTGGGCCCTCAAGAGCAGGCTGTTTGGTTCAGGCTGTACTTTGTCATAGTAATCATGCAATGTATTTTTCTGCCCCTTACTTTTTTTATCTTTTTATTGTTATTAATGCAATGTTTTGAGATTTTTTCCTGTTAATTTATTTACCTTTAACAATTATATATAATGTCCCGAAGTATGAAGATATTATTTATCGTGACTAGGTACAGTATCTGTTCCCCATTTGGCTCTTAAAAACAATACTTATATTTATCTGAACACTATGTCTATCTTCTCAACATGTGTGTAAGAAGTTTTCCAGCATGTAATACATCCAGGAGAGAAATTGTTGGGGTACAGGGCAGGCAGCATGCTTTATTATATGTACAGCATTGTACATTATATATTTATTTATTATTATACTCTGCCATGCTGCTTTTGAGGAGACTATAAAATCCTCCCACTGGCTGTATATAAGTGTTTACCTTGCTAAAATCCTTCATTATTATGACATTTGGCACCCGACCTTTCAATATCTATAAAATTAGGGATGTATAAAATACCTAATTACTAATAAGACTGGACACCTTTAAGAATAGCTTTATGCATCACAAGTATGTCCTTTATAATGAAATTCTTATTTATGTCTTTGTCCTTGTTTTTTCTTTATAAGAGCTGCTAAATTCTAGATGATGATTTCTTGTTTTTCTGAGACAGGGTCTTGCTGTGTAGCCCCAGCTGGTCTGCCCAAGTTGTGTTCCTCTGTCTCAGCCTCCCGAGTGCTGGGATTACAGGCGTGCACTACCAGTAGATAGTGATTTTCCATCTATTGTTTCTATTGCAGATATTATCTCCCACTTTAGAACTTGTGGCCAGTTTGAGCCATCACTGCCTTGCTATTCCATCTGCTTACGTATTCCCATCCAGTTTCCACTCTGGTTTGATTATCATGCTTTATGTAAGTGCCTGTGATGAATAGAAGGCCCACATTTTAGGGTCATCGAAAGTGCCTATTTTCTCTCCTTATGGTAGTGCTAGATATTATGTAAGGGATTTTCATTTTCTTCTGGATCATAAAGATATTCAATATCACTTCTAACATTGCTCTGGCTTTGCCTTTTACATTGACATTTCAGTCCTTGCTATGGCTTGAACTTCTGATCCCTGCCACTCCTGCTGGTCCCTCGCCATTGAGACAGCACTAAGCAGTGGGCTGTAAGGTGGCTTCCCCTGCGTGGGTGGGCTTGGTGTCCCTCTGTGGGCAGCCTGTGGGGAGCTGGGGCTCCTCTCACCTTCTCTCCTCTCATTCGGCTGGCAGGTTGCCTCTGCCACAGCGGGTGCAACAAGATGGCTCTCGCTCTGGGCTGT